CCCAAAAATTTCCTTTAATTGTCTTACTCTTCCCGTATCTAGCTATTATGTTGAAATACACATGGACACCACATATTCCATGATGAGCGTGAGAAAAAATGTTGACAACTAATGTCGCTATAGATGGAGACCTATCAAATATAATTGTAAGATCCTCCATATTACCTATGTAATCACGTAGTTTTTGAAAAAACCATGTCTAAGAATCTGTACGCTCATTTTTGCATGTACCATATGCAACCGGTAATATTTGGTTTTGTCTGTCCTTAGTAATTGCAAGTAACATGGTACCTTTGAACTTGCCCTTTAGCTGAGCTCCATCTACTACAAGGGCCAGCTTACAACAATTGACAAAAGCGCGTACCTACAATACATTGTATATCTATTCAAATACACTGATTATAGTTGGGTACACCAAAATTAAAAAAATAATAATAAAATATAGTAATACTAACCGAGCAACCAAGTGCGACATACAAGAACTCAAACCGATCATCACCATCTGTTTGAATATGTGTCACCGTGTCGAGATTATGTATGACCAAATTGTGGAAATAAGCCGAAATTTTGGTAAAAGAATCATCTTTCGTACCCGTTAACAACAACAATGCATATTGCTTCGCACGCCAAGCCTGATGGTGTTAGATATTGATTTTCAATTAAGCATTCATATCGTTAACAATATCTTGTCTCATATATACTCTACTATAATCTTCAGCCAAAACATCAGCAAGATATTCACCCAAAACATGTTTGTTTATTTGTCGATGATTAGGTTGCAACATTGTTGAAGAACATGTGTGTACGTCAACAAATTTATTCACTTGGAAAAGTCCGCCATAATTTTGAATTCCTTTTGCTCTTAGTAACTAAGAACAATTTTCCCAACACACACAACCTCATACCTTGATTTGGTCGATCTACTTGTCTTCGTCTAAAAACCTTCTTGAAGACATTTTTTCCTAATCGCCCATTTTAGAAGGTCTTTGTTCTTAAATATACCGAGACATTCAATATCTTGATGATTGATTTCTACCATCTGTGATGTGATATCTTTATTAACATTAACTGGACATACTGGTAGAGGGGGCATACTGTAAAAAAGTTTATCGGGAAACTTAGCTTTACATTCACCACCCAACTCATCTCCATCAGAATTGCTTTCTAAGTCGGTTATATCTAAAGCTACATCAGCAACATCAACAAAATCCCCGTAACCATGTACATTTTCATCTTTTTGAATCATAGATTTTTTCTTTTTACTATTATCTACTACACCCCTATTCATAACTTTAACTTCTTGTTGTGGAACGTCAACATAACAACAACCCACATCATTAAGATATGTACCAACATCATCATCACCAACGTACTTGTAATTTTCAGGATCCACATAGTGAATAGGTGAATACCTCACATTAACATTTTCAGCAACACTATGAAACAGAGGTACGCTAGGAGTCATGAAAGTACCTATTGGATTGTTGCTCCCTTTATCGCTGCATAAGTTAGCAACCGACTCATTTCCACTCTCGCCACCCTCCGTAACCGCATCACCTTCATCAACCACCACAAAGACTTTCACAACCCTTCCTCCAATTGATTTGATTACGTTGATTAACATTCTAACATCCATGTCTTCAACTATGGATATATATTGATTAAATTCAGGATGATGGAAAACGAAGACTAATTTTATATTTTTCTAACAAACCGGTTTTTATTCTCACCAAAGATACAAAATCACTATAACTAATATACTCAGAAAATATCAAAGTGAATTCATAAATACCTATTTGTGGACATACATATTCAAGATTTGTTTCCACAACTTTCCACCTCCCACCAGTTACAACGCAAACCAAATATTCATTCATTTTATTAGAGTGGTTTGAAACAAATTTTCCAAAGAAATAACAACTAAAGTGATAATTTTTTACTAAACTTTATACATAATAAGGTTGTTTCGTAGTCAAGCCTTATCAATTTAGTAGTCAAAATAAAAAAAAAATAAAAAAATAAACGCAAAATCGCAGGTGGAATGGAGAGGAAGTCGCAGATGAACTGAGTTCATCTGCGATTTTAGTATGAGATGACAGGTACGGGAAAAATGAAAAAAATAAAAAAAACACCTGCGAACGTACAATTCGTTAAAGCACGATTGTGCTTTAGCGACTTGTACGTTCGCGGATGGAATGTTAAAATCACAGATGGGCTTAATCCATCTGCGATTTTCATGATATTTTTGTAATTTGAGTTTTTTTTTTTTTTTTTTTTTTTTTGCAAAGTAGTTAAAGGATTAGGATATATTTAGATAAAATTGCAAAAATGGTCCCCGTGCTTGCCAAAATTATGTGGTTTTGGTCCAAAAAAGTTTGATGGCGCATCAATGGTCTAATTTCAGATACCTTGTGTGTTTTTGGTCCCTATAGTTGGTATTTTTGTGTGGTTTTGGTCCATACCCCACATAAAATGACAAATATACCCTCAAGATAGTTTTTTTAATATTCTTTTAATATTTTCTTATTCTTTTAAATAAATACATAAAACCCCAAAAGAATACACACCCCCACCCACCTATGCTAACACTCCCACGTCTCTCTCTCTCTCTATCTATCTATCTATCTATCTATCTATCTATCTATCTATCTATCTATCTATCTATCTATCTCTTTCTATATTTCTTTCCTTTTTTTGGGCGACATCCTCCTAGTTGGTTCTTTATCGGAGTACCGTTTTCCTGATGGAGGACTTTGTCAGAGTAACCTTCAAATAGATATGTAAAGTAAACACACACACATACACACACGTTTGGGACAACGACAGTAGGGGCACCGGAGGAAGAAGGTGTGCCGAAGGAAGAAGGGGATGGATTTGATCGAGGAGAAGCAGTTTATGGAGTAATGGACTCTGATCTAAGATCTGAAACCCCTTTCTTAGAGTAAACTGCAAATGGGAGAAGGTCACCGAAACCCTAAAAGTATCTGACGTCAAATTCGCAGGAAAAAATCACCCGATCTGCTTTAATTTTGAGTTCTTGGTTTTAGCACATGATTTTATCCCGTTGCCTCCGTCCTCTACATGCACTGAAAAATTCAACATTTGATTCCTTTTGTGAATCTGAGCTTTATTTGATCTTAATTGTTGTTTTTTTTGAAGCACAAATATTATTGTAGGTTTGAGTTGAAGCTGGGGCAAGGGTTAAAGACGGTGGTATTAAGGATGGCGTTGGAGGCTATGGTGGTGATGAAGGTGGTTTTAATGGTGGTGAGCTCCAACGGTGGTTGCACGTGGTGCGAAGGGTAGTTATGGTGGCTTTAATGGGGGTGAGGGGTTTAATTCCGACGAGACAGTGGGAGAGAAAACGATGGGGATGGGGAGTTTGGTAACCAGGACTCTGGCGAAGGTGGTAGTGGTTGCGATCTACATGAACTCCAACGAGAATGGCGGCTGCTGATGGTGGTTCCAAACACTGGTGATGCAGTGTGGAGATAATAAGGGTGCGTCTATTTCATAGGATTCCTAAGGAAAGTGAAGGAATTGGAAACTAGAATCCAATAGTCAACGTGTTCGGCTTACCAAATGATGGGAATCAAATTTCCATAATCATCTTTCAATTCCCTATTTGATTGATTTCTAATTCTTTCCCTGAACATGAAGAATTTATATTCAATTCCATATATTTTTTTAAACCGACAGCTACCTTCCTATTATCAATACGATTTTGAAAAAAAATACGTGATTGTCATTATCCTTTCCACTATTATTGTCTCCCATCGATCACATATATTTCTATCTCTCAATCGGTATTGCAAAAGGATTCATTGACATCGACGATCGCTGTGAACCTGTGCTATCATCGTATCTTACTTGAGGGGAGTTAATATTCTATTTCTTTGTTGTATCCTTCATCTATGAAGATATGCTACTGTACTTCATCTCTTATCAACAATCATCTTTGTTGTATTCACGATCTTTGATGTATACTTCATCTATGAAGATATGCTATTGCATTTCTTTGTTCAACCTGTGAACTTGTCGAATTCTTCTATTGTACTTCATCTTTGTCTTCTTTTACATGAAGTATCAGCAATTATCTCTACAAGTATACATAATGGTTAATTTTGTGGTTCATATTTATTGTTGGTAATGTGTAAAAACTACTTGTATAAGCATGCCCACCAAGTGTTTGTGTTTTTGCTTGTGTGGTGTTTTCTTTCTTTTTCCTGCATAACTTTTTTTATTTTCAATACTTTTGCCATTTATGTTTGTTTTCTTTGAAAAAATGAGACAAAAATCCACAAAATGTGTTAAAAGCCATAATTAAAAACCACTATATTCACCAAAATGTGTCAATACTTTTGTCATTTATGTTTGTTTTCTTTAAAAAAATGAGACAAAAATCCACAAAATGTTTTTATGATTTAATAAAAAAAATGACATAATACAAAATTCGTTTTCCAATTCCTTTAGGAAATCAGCAAATCAAACAGAAAACATATTCCATTCCATGTCAACCAAACGCATTTAAGTTTCTGGTATATTCAGATTCTAAGCCCTCCAGATTCCCATTCCTTTGACAAATTCCATTCATTTCAAAAACATTCTGCGAACCAAACGCAACCTAAAAGTGGGGAATGGGTTATTTGTTTTTATTTTTTGTTTTGAGTTAAAAAAATACAAATTAAATTAGTTTATGCATTTCAACAATTAAAGAAAATGAATAATATAAATTATAAGGGCATAACCGTATTTTTAAGTGTATAGGGACCAAAACCAATAAAAAATCCAATTTTGGATTGCTGGTGCACCACTAATATTTTTTAGACCAAAACCCATAATTTAACAACATGACCATTTTTATAATTTTTGTCATATATTTATAATTTTCTCTATAAAAAAAAAACAAAAATGTATATATTTGAACATTAATTTTGAGGGTATATTTTTCTTAGCTAGGGACCCATTCTCAATAAATTACTCCTGAAATGGCTAAAACCCTCGAATCATCTTTTCCCCATAATTCTTTCTTCCCTCAAACAATTCTCTCTCTTTCTAACTCAAACGGCTTCTTCTTCTTCTTCTTCTTCTTCCCTCTTCCTCCAACCAACAACCGAGAACCATCGTTCTCTCGCACTCAAATGATGACTCTCGGAGCATAAAATCAGTTGGGCAATTACAGAGTAGAAACTGAGAATTAAAGATGGGAAAGTACATACAGAGGAACTCAAAGACTGCCAGGAAGGTTTCGATAATGGATATACCTTCTCATGGCGGCGTCCGTACTCGCGCCAGAACACTAGCTCTCCAGAAAGCTTCCTCCGCCGTGTCGCCAGGTGCTGGTTCCTACATTCAACTCCGTAGCCGTCGTCTAGTCAAGCCAACTCCTTCAAACATTCAGAAGGAGAACCGTGTTCCACCAAAACCGAATAAACATTCTAGCAAAGGAGCCGGTTCTTCGACACTGAACGTTAATTCTCGGAATTCTTCTCGGTCTGTTAAGAAATTGGTGCATAGGAAAGACGAGATTCGTCAAGAAATTGAGATTACGGATGCTGAAGATGTGGGAATCGATGATGAAGCTTCATTTGGTGAGAACATGTTGGAAATTGAAGGTAGAGAAAGGTGGGCCGTACATTCTTTTCTTCTCTGTTTAATTATTTTGCTTGAATGGAATTCGTAAATTAGGGTTTTGCGTGTTCTTCCCAAAGTTTTCGTTTTTTTCTGGGGTTTGACTATATATTTTGTTAAATTCAAAAATATTTTTAGGGGTTTTCCCGAATCAACAACTCTCAATTGGCGAACGGTGGGTGTTTCTTGGTATCCTTTTCGTTTCCCTTCGCTTAATTTCATTTCAAAGTTCATTATTAGGGTTTCTTTTCAAGCAAATTTCTTAACTCGAGAGTTTTTTAATTTTCTAATTGTACCTTTTTCCAGATTCGATTTTCTGAATTAGTTTCTCATTTCCTGAATTTTTTTTCTTAATTATGCCGCTTTTGACTAAAAGCTTATAATAGTTTCTGAATTAGTTTCAATTTGTCAGTCTGTTTCGATTCAAAATTTTGTTTTTTGAAATGATTGAGGTTTTGAACGTCTGTTTATCGGGTATATTTTCTTTCTCTGAAAAGTCTCTTCTAAAAGGGTTTTTCTACTCTGTCATTTTTAGATTGTTTCAGACTACTCGATAAATAAAGTCATCAAAAAAATTTCTTTTACTTTTAAGAAAAGAAAAAAAATCCCAAGTTTTGAATACGAAAATAACATCAAGGAAGAAATCATAGACCCCTCTGCTCTTTGAAATCATGGTTTATTTTTTTTTTTTCGTTTTCTCTGTTATTTCATTGTCTTGTTTAACCTTAAAAACTTAGTTTCCAATAACGATTTTATTCCTTTACACAATGCCACTCTTTTATTGCAAATTTTCAGTATGTAACAACTTCTTTTCCATTTTAAACACCTATTAAAGCCCTATAGTGTTGTTTTTTCTTAATTATATCTAAATTTATAAATACAAACTGTTACAAATTCTGTAGTTGATTCTAAATCTGCTTGAAAATTAGAATACCCTTTTGGCTCTAGTCTTTGGTTTTTATATCATATTAAAAAAAACCCTTGAAACAATTACAAAAAGGAATCACCTTTTTACTGTTCAATTTCATTTCATTGGATACCTTTGTGACACTTAAATCATGCAAAAGATTATATACTTCATAATATTTTATCGGGATCATAACTTTTTTACTATAATCTTGGCATTGTGGGGCCCCAAATGTATGTGGGAATCAAATTCTACATTATCTTGTAACAACACTTTTTCTTTATTTAATCAAAATAGTGTTTGCAACTTGCAAACACCCCTTTGGAATTTATATGTTCATTTTTTTTTTAAATTTCCATTTATGACTGTTTCTTTTGTACTTTATACATAAGGAATGTCTTAATAGGGACAAATATATATATAATGGTGTTTCTTTTTAACTTGATACACATGAATTACATATAAACAGAAGGGTAAAATGGTCATTTACTCAAATTCAGACAAATATAAGGTGTTTCTTTTTGCCTTAATACTTAATGAATATCTTAATAGGGACAGATGTATATAAAAGTGTTTCTATTTAACTTGATACATAAAGAGTGTATAAAACCGCTTGATACATATAAACAAATAGAAGGGTAAAATGGTCATTTACTCAAATTCAGATATAAGGGTTTTCTTTTTGCCTTAATTCATAAGGAATATCTTAATAAGGAAATATGTATAAAAAAGTGTTTCTATTTAACTTTATACATAAAGAGTGTCTAAACCGTGAAATTTCGGGCATGATACATATAAACAGAAGGGTAAAATGGTCATTTACTCACATTCAAACAAATATAAGGTGTTTCTCTTTGGTATAGAAAGGTGTTTCTATTTAACTTGATACATAAAGAGTGTATAACTATAAACCATGAAAGTTCGGATTTGAAACCCATAAACATATATAAACAACAGAAGGGTAAAATGGTCATTTTTACTCACATTTCAGACATTTCATTTCATACAGGAGTATACGCGAGACAACACCATGCAGTTTGATTAAGGATCCAAACACTACAAATACTCCAACTTCTTCTACAAAGAAGACTTATTCTACAAATTCCAATTTAAGAGTACAAATTCCACCTCCAAGACTCATCCCTACAACCGTTGAAATGGAAGACTTCTTCACAGAGCCAGAAAAACACCAACAAAAACAGTTTATCGAGAAGTATATATATATATATATATATATTTCAAAATTACCATTTTACCCTTTTGTTCTATATCATTTCTTATGCAATATGAAATTGTTTTGTAGGTATAACTTTGATCCGGTGAATGAGAAGCCTCTCCCTGGGCGCTATCAATGGGTGAAAATGGATAATTAAATTTGAAAGGGTAAAATAGTAATTAGGGTATCTTTGTAAAGAAAGAAGTAGGAGGAATGAAAAAGAGTTAATTAGGTTAGGGTGTAGATTAATGATCTGTAGTATAAGAAAAAAAAAAGGTTAATTTTCTAACAGATCATCTACTAACAAGGGGAAGAAGAAGGTGGTGGTGATTGAATGAATGACTGTAGGTTTTATTTATACTTCCTTTGTTTATGTACTTTGTACTCCTGGGAAAGTTTAAGACACCCCCCTCCCCTTAATAAAAATGACAATATTACCCCTCTCTCTTTATTCATCGTTATATTTGTTATGTGTTTAGTGTGTTTATTACTTACAATTTTTTAATAGGAAAAAGTAATTGAAATGATTATGTAAGATACAATTCTATAATATGAAAAAGTGATAGAATGTTATATGTTATATAACAAATAAATCAATGAATCGATTATGTAAAATACAATTTTTTAGTATGTAAAAGGAATCGAATCGATTATGTAAAATACGATTCTATAATTGGAAAAAGTAATAGAATGTTATATGAAATAAATCAATGAATTGATTATGTAAAATACAATTTTTTAGTAGGAAAAAGTAAATGTAAAATACAATTGTATAATAGGAAAAAGTAAGTAGAATGTTATGTAACAAATAAATCAATGAATCGGTTATGTAAAATACAATTTTTTTTAAAGAAAAAAATAATCGAATTGATTATATATTCTATAATAGGAAAAAGTAATATAATGTTATATAACGAATAAATCAATGAAAGAATGTTTCTATTTCGTGTTTAAATGTGGAAATATGGTTGGTGAATTATGATAGTGGTAGTAGGGGGTAGTGGTAGGGTAGGTTTATTGGTTTTATAGAGTTGGGAAGAATCTTATGTCAGTTTGTACCTTTTTATTTTATCTATTGAACTTTATCTTACAATTGCATCTTTGATCAAAAATTCTAAGGGGTTCTTGTTTTCTTGTTTTTGATATAGACTTGTTGGTCCCTAATAAGAATATATACCAAGGACTGAATGAAGAAAATAGAAATGGATTTTTATTTAGGTTTGTATTATAGGATCTTACTTTCATTTTATTTCTATTGCAAAATACGTTAAATTTTGTACATTCTACCCAATTTTGTAGCATTGTAATTTCAAGATTCTTTTACTATGGCATTTTACATTGAAACATCTATTAAATTATAACGGTTAAAATTGCTTTGTATTAGAATGATATTACTATAATTTTGTATATATATTTCTAGTACAAAGCTATAATAAAGTGTAAAGACAAAACTGCACAAATGGTCCCTGTGGTTAGCTGAAAATTGCCACTTTGGTCCAAAAAAATTTGGACTAGCACCAGAGGTCCAAACTTTTCATTTTGTTGCGAGTTTGGTCCGATTTGCTTTGAACTTTTTTATAAAGATGATTTTGCCATTGCTTTTTGCTTTTTTTTTTGTTTTTTTATTTATTCAAATATTTTTCTGATTAAAAGATAAATTAAAAAAATTAAAAAAACCAAATCTCTCTCTCTCACACACACACACACACACTCTCTCTCTCACTCACTCTCTCTCTCCTTTTGAAGAAAAGATCTCATCTGGTTATCTTTTCTAATCTCGTTTGAAGATTTGGGTATGCAAGTTCAAGATCACTTTTAATCATCTCATCTAGGGAGTTGTGAAGATCGAGGAAGCTGGAGAAGTTTCAACAATCACTCAATGAAGACGATCTCTAGCTCAGTTGCTGCAGAAGAAGATTCCAAATTGAATCCTTCAGGAGATGAAGAACACCCCACCCCCCCCCCCCATTACCCCTTCATATGTCTACATCTCTCTTCTTCTCTTCCTGTCGCCCTTCTCGTTTCCTGAAACCCTAACACCGTCTCCTTCTCGTTTCAAGATCTGTAAGAACGAGTCTAGATTAGGGTTTCGTTTTGGTTTCAAGATCTGAAACCCTATCACCACCATTTTCCTAGTGCAGGTTTATGAAACCCTAACAATGGCGTCGGAGGTGAAAAAGGTGTAGACGATGACGTATTTGTTCAGATGGCAGACCTTCGATCTTCTTATTTGTCTTCGATCTTTTCATTCGTCTGACCACATCCCTATTATCAGATCTGTAAGAGAGATGTTGATAGAGGTGGCGTCCCACCTCAAATATGTCTGCGAGCAAGCCTTCACAAAGAAGTGGTCAGTACCTCCCCCATCTCTGAAATCGTCTCTAGATCAAAATCGATTTCCAGACGAAGATGAGGGATGAACACCCAAGAATCGATTTCCAGAAATTTAGAACACGCACATACACTCTTAAATTGATTTCCAGAAACACAAACACACACGATTTTAGTTTTTGATTCGAATTTAAGAATCCGATTCTTAAGTTACCCTCGGAAAAAAAAACTCACAAATGATTTCCATTGAGGTATGATTTAGAAAAACCCAAATGAAAACGAGATTAGAAAGATAACCATATGAGATATTTTCTTCAAAATGTGTGTGTGTGTGAGAGAGAGAGAGAGAGAGAGAGAGATTTGACTTTTTAAAATTTTTTAATTTATTTTTTAATCAGAAAAAATATTTAAATAAATAAATAACTAAAAAAGCAAAAAGCAAGGGCAAAATCGTCTTTATAAAAAAGTTCAAAGTAAATCGGACCAAACTCGCAACAAAATGAAAAGTTTGGACCTCTGGTGCTAGTCCAAACTTTTTTGGACCAAAGTGGCAATTTTCAGCTAACCACATGGACCATTTGTGCAGTTTTGTCAAGTGTAAATTGCAAACTTGGTCTTTGTGGTATCTCAAAAAGTGCAGTTTCAGTCTATTTTTTTAAATTTGCATGGTCAGTCTAATATTGAAACTTTCATGCAGATTTGGTTTCTCAAATTAACCGCCATTTAAAAAAAGGACTCAAATTGCATTTTTTGGGATACCAGACCAAATCTGCATGGAAGATTTTATTTTGGATTGACCATGGCAATGAAAAAAAAAAAGACTCAAAACTGTACTTTTTACCACAAGGATCAATTATGTAATTTACTCTATAATAAACAAATTAGTGAAAATATGTTGTTAGGTTATTGGATATAGCCCTATAGAAAATGAAAAAGTAAAAATTTGCTTGTAAAAGAAGATGAAATTCTTGAGTAAATAACATATGTAGGAGTAAAAAGTGTCTTATCTCAAGAAAAAGATTGAAACTATATGAAAGTGATTCCCGTTTATCTTTTGCGCATTGAATTTGACAGTTGAGCTAATTTAAGGTGATAAGGTAGTGGAATGATTAAAGTAAGGTGATTTTGTAGGTGTTCTTTGAGTCATCATTACAATTGAAAACAATATCATCTTCTTTTCTAAATTTCTAATACTAAAAAATTATTTGATTCAACCAATTTGGCTATATTCTACAAAAGAGTATGATGGTTAATTACTATATATTACAAAAGGGTATTTTGGTCGATTGACTGTGTGACAAGAGAGATGGCGAAGAGTGAAGACCCAAAATCAGACACAGAAAGCAGCCCATGATTCACACAAACATAGGTGCAACTGTAACGTATTCATGTGATTTGCTGCTCCTATTTTTGTCATGGTTTCAGTCTTCTCGAAGTTTGACATCAAAGTAGTTATTTTAATAAATTAAAAGAATTTAAAAAAAAAAATGAGCCTCATTAGATGGGTGAAACTGTGAAAGTCGTACGTAATACGTCGATTATCCGCAAAAAAAGTATTGATAAATGAACCGAGCTTCACCTGTTTTGATCTGCACAAAAATTTAGGGATAATTATTAATGATCGGATACAAATAATTGTTTTGGAACATTTTTTATAGTATATTTATTCGTGAAATGGATTTTACAAATTGTTTTATGAATGATACTTAGATTAAAAAATATATTTATATTTTACAGTCAATTGTTTAGAACACCATTTTTTGGGTTATTTAGGTGATTATCTTTAAAACTCTATATCGTTTTTCTTCGATATTGACTTTATTTCCTTAATGTATATTAAGATAATATCAAGGTTTGTATTAAAGGATTAATTGCAATAGATATAGATTAATCGGTGATTATAAATTATAAAGAAAATATATAAAAACAATTTTACCAACGAACAGCCAAGAGCCTAAAGAAAGCACTGAACAAAATTTTTTAAATATTACCAAACAATAAAGTCTTATTCATTTTATGTTGGGATACACATCAAAACGTTATACAATAGCTAAAGTTAAAACAAACACTATTTTTAGACGGATGAAGACCATCAAACAATTAATTGTCTGACTAAACCGGTTTTTATAATACTGAATATTATAACTAATGATGATTTAAAATTTTAAAAGATTAATGATATTTCTTTTGTGCTAAGAAATCACAACGAAAATGATATGGATCTTTTGTTGATGGAGTGGATAATTGCCATATCCGTTATAAAAGTCTACCTAGGATGCTTATCCCATATCTATCAACAAACTTTTCAAAGGCTTAGGCTATATAGCTATTTATTAAAAAAGAAAATAAAGAAAATCATTTTCTTAAGATTTTGATAAAATTTAGCAAATAATTAAAGAAATTCTTCAAATAAACATGGATTCTTCAAATAACCATCTCTATCAAATAACCATCGATTTTTTGGTCAAAAAAGATTTGTTTTTCTCATTTTCTGATAGGTTTTCGTTGCCTTGTACTTTTTGGATCCCGCTTGATCTCGATTTTCCTTCTCAACTTTCTTTGGATCAACTCTCGGTCTTGGAGGGTGAGATTTTGAGAGATGAAATTAAACGGGGTGTTTGGGATTGTGGCTCTGATAAGTCTCCAGGTCTCGATGGTTTTACTTTTGAGGTTTTTAAAAGATATTGGAGCATAGTTGAGAATTCGGTTGTGGTTGCAGTTCAACAATTTTTTATTTCTGGTTTTTTTTTTCCAAGTGGTTGTAACCTTTCGTTTATAGCTCTGATTCCGAAAAAAATTTATGCTAAATTTGTAAAGGACTTTCGACCTATTAGTTTAATAGGTTGTCAATATAAGATTGTAGCTAAGATTTTAGATAATTGGCTTAGCTTGGTAATTGATGTCCTGATTAGTGAATACCAGTCTGCTTTCGTTTTTGGCCGTCAATTTTTAGATTGTCCCTTGATTCTCAATGAGATTTTATCTTGGTGTAAGCATAAGAAGAAGAAGACTATGATTTTTAAAGTAGACTTTGAGAAGGTGTATGATTATGTGAGATGTGATTATCTAGATGATATTCTGGATAAGTTTGGTTTTGAAAATAAATGGAGGCG